CTCAGTCTTCCCCATCTGTAAAATGGGGATAAATCATAGCATCTACCTCATGGAGATTTGTTGTAAGATTAGGTTAATATGTGCAAAGCTGGACACATAGTAGGTACTGAATGAGTGTTAGCTGTTATTGCTAAATATTAAGAAAGATGCAAATGAATCAAAGAGACCTTGGTCTAGCGCAGAAGCTAGCAAATTTTTTCTAAGGGCCGCATAGTCAATATTTTTGGCTTTGCCAGCCATAAGGTCTCAACTACTCAAGTCTGCCCCTGCAGCACTAACACAGCCACAAACAATTCATAACTGGATGAGCTTTATTTATGAACACTGACAACTGAATTTTATATAATCTTTCTGTGTTGCAAGATAATATTCTTCATTTGAACTTTTTCTACCATTTCAAAATGTAGAACCTAGCCTTAGCCTGCAGGCCGTACAAAACCAGGTGGTATGCCAGACTTGGTCAGCAGGCCGTACTGTGCTGGTCCCTGATCCAAGGGGGGGAAACATTAGCCCCTCTGGGTTTCTCTGCTCTAGCAGCTCTGAGCCTCAGTCTGTTCGGTTACAGGTGAACAAACTGAGGCTCATCCTTCAAAGCCCAGTTGAAATGTTGCCTCCTCTTTAAAGCCTTCCCAGATCACCTCAGCCAAGGAGGCGCTATCTCCTGCCTCCTATGTGATAAGCACTAATTTGTTCATTACTTTTAAAATTTTATCATGAGGCCCGGGACGTACCTCACTTGGTTGGAGCATCGTCCTGGATACACCAAGGTTGCCAGCTCGATCCCCAGTCAGGGCACTTACAAGAACCAAGCAACAAATGCATAAATGAGTGGGATAGCAAATCAGTGGGTTTTTTCTTTTTTTCTTTCTTTTTTTAAATATATCTTTATTGATTTCAGAGAGAGGAAAGGAGAGGGAGAGAGAGAGAGCGAAACATCAATGATGAGAGAGTCATTGATCGGCTGCCTCCTGCACACCCCCAACTGGGCATCTAGCCCGCAACCCGGGCATGTGCCCTGACCGGGAATCGAACCCCGATCGCCTGGATCCCAGGTCGACGCTCAGCCGCTGAGCCACACCTGGCTGGGCTCAATGGTTTTTTTTCTCTCTCTCTTTCTTTCTGTCACACCTTCTCTAAAAATCAATAAATAAAATAAAATTTTATCCTGAAATATTTAAGATAAACCCAAAACTATAAAGAATAATGCAGGGTGACCCTGGCTGGTGGGGCTCAGTTGGTTGGGCATCAGCCTGTGCACCAAAAGGTTGCCGGTTCGATTTCTGGCTGGAGCACCTGCCCAGGTTGTGGGCTTGATCCCTGGCAGGGGATGTGCAGGAGGCAGCTGATCAATGGTTCTCTCTCACATCCATGTTTCTCTCTCTCCCTTCCTCTCTCTCTAAAAATCAATTAAAAAAAAAAAGAATAGCCCAGTCGTCGTGGCTCAGAGGTTGAACATCGACCTAGGATCCAGGAGATCGGGGTTCGATTCCCAGTCAGGGCACATGCGGGGGTTGTAGGCTCCATTCCCAGTAGGGGGCGTGCAGGAGGCAGCTGTTCAATGACTCATCATTGATGTTTCTATCTCTCCCTTCCTCTCTCTGAGATCAATAAAGATACATTAAAAAAATAATAATAATGCAGGGTGGAGGGGAGGTAGAAAAGGGTAAAGGAGATAAATGGTGATGGAGACTTGACTTTGAGTGGTGAACACAATGTAATATATGGATGATGTTATTATAGAATTGTACACCTGAAACCTATGTAATTTTATTAACCAATATCACTCCAATAAATGCAATAAAAATAAAATTAAAAATAAAAGGAGTAATGCAAACACCTTAGTCTTTACCATCTGGCTTATGAAATGCAGCCTTGCCCAAACAGTCGAAAGGCCCTGTGCAGATACCCCTCCCAAAATCACAACCTCCCTTCCTCCTCCCCAGAAGTAATAACCACTATCCTGATTCAGGGGCTTATTGCCCTGTACTTCTCAGTACTTTCACTACATATAGATCTGTATCCAGATATAGTATTTGTTTGCATAAGTACACTCATTACTTAACCCAATCTTCCCATAATTTAACACAGATCTTGCTAATAATCCAATCTAGGGGTATCTGTATTTAAAGATTAGTTTCAGAGTGTGTGACACCTTGCCCAAGGCACCCAGGTAAGTGATGGTGGTAGGATTCAAAGGCCGAGGAGGATTCCCAAGGCGATGCTCCTAAACAGTGCTCCCTCTATATCCTTGTGGTCAAGCAGTCATATTAGTTATCTGACTTCCTTTCCACACTAGATTTTAAACTACCCATGAAAAGAGACTAAATATGACCTTTCACCCTTCCTAGACAACCCCTAGTATGTTGCACCCAATAGAAGCACAATATGTATTTGTTCAGAGACCCTTAGTAGTCTCAGTAGAGGATGGGGAAACTGCCAGAAACTCAAGGGGAACAAGGGTGGGGCTTTGCTAGATTTCGTTACAAGTTTGGAGCAATTTTTAATTGTTCACGTGTCAACTTTACTGGAAAGGATGAGAGGCATGCAACCCTCATGTTCCAAGAGGTTGGGAGTTCGTGAGTTGGGGGGGGAGGGAGGAGGGAGGGAAAAGGGGAACTCAGCCCCAGAACCAAGAAATCCTTCCTTCCTTCCTCTCCTGCAGCCACATGGGCAGAGTTAGGGTTTGGGATCTAGTCCAAGCTTAAGGGCAGACAGTGAGGAGCGATAGGTATTGCAGCCTGGACCCTCAAGCCTCTTGACAAGACAGCATCCTGGCCAGCGTCCAAAGGGCGTGCACACACACCAAGGGGAGAGGACAGGATGACCCACAGGGAAGGCAGAATGTTGAGAGAACTGCTGCTGCTGCTGCTCATAAACAAGAAGCCAGCCTTTACTAATACTTATGCAAACTGAGTGCTCTCAGCATGTCAGGCTCTGTCAGGCTTGTGCTAAGTGGCCTCATCTACCATCCAGTTTAAACTAAACTCAAGAAATGAACAAGGGCCCTGGCTGGGCTGTTGGTTGGAACATCCTCCCGTACACAGCAAAAGGTCTCAGGTTCGATTCCTGGGTTGCAGGTGTGTCCTTGGTCA